TCTGCTGCATAAGAGCAAGCACCTGGGGAAAAGCGCTGTGTGACAGGAACATCTGGAGAACTAGACCACCAAAGAGCCAATGTCCTATGTGGGCTTCGAAAAGGAGCCGTTATTGCAGTATGAACAAAGTCCAGTGGTGTCTTTTATTGCTTTTTACAAAGTCACGTTCATGCTAAAAACCTTCAGCCTACTGTGTTTGAAATGCACCGAGGTCTATCTGCAAAATTAAGTTACCTGAAGGAAAAGGAATAAAAAGTATTCGAATATAACACTTCTCCTTTCTTCTATGCCTACCCCCACCCACTCTCTCTCAACTTCATGATGTTTTTATTTGCTATGTAATGTAATACTAAGAATAATCAAAAATTTAAATTATTTGCATGAAAAAAGTTAGTTACCTGGGTCAGTAAATACCGGGATGGGGAGGGAGGGTTATCTTGAAAATAAAACTTTTGCATTTATAGCAATGCTTTAGCAGCCACAACTCTGTCATAATAAAAGCCTTCCATCTGCACAGCATGGGGCTTCCAATTGAAATCTATCATCTAAACCAGTGGTTCTCAACTGGGGCAATTTTGCACTGCCCCCCCGCCCACACATTTGACAACGACTAGAACATGTTGTCACAACTGGGAGAGTGCTACTGGCATCTAGTGGGTAGAATCCAGGGATGCTACTAAATATCCTACAATGCACAGGACAGCTCCCACAACAGAGAATTATCCAGCCCAAAATGTCAATAGTGAGAAACCTTGCTCTAAACTGAAAAGGATGGTGAAGCTCAATTATCTCCTCTAACTGCCTGACTTAGAGCCAAGAACACCGAAGGCTTATGTTAGCAACTACAAACTCTAGCTACAAACTCGAGAGCATTTAGAAACATCAAGCAAGCATTTTTGAACAAAACTTACCATTTCCCTGAAAAAAACAATCAGTCACAATTTGTGTCCTCTCTTGATCCTGGCCTCCAGAGATGTTAATAACCAAACACAAGGCAATATGGATTCATTTCAAGGCTGTTATTTTTTGCAGTAAAGGAGGCTGGGGGCTGGGCGAGCTTTGAGAATAAACCCAAAAAGCTCAAAAAGATAAATGAACATTCTGTCACTGGAGAATCATGACAACAAACTTGTGTCTGAGAGAGGGCTGGAGTGGGGGGTAGATATTAAGTGAGACAGAAGCATAAAAGTGCTAAGCAAAAATGAAAAGCCAACAGAGAAATGGGCAAGGTTAAAAAGAAGGCATTTCCCTTCTATGCCCGAAAGGATGAGAAGCACTCTGGTACCAGGGAGGGCGCTAGAGGCCGAATACTCCAGTGTAAATCTTGAGGCAGGCAAAGAATGGCTAAAAGGAAGAGCTGGCAGCCCCCTCAGCCAAACACCCTGCACACATCAGAGACCTTCCTGCTATGCATCTGGACCTTCCAAGCCTCAAGGCTTTCCACATCGAGCCTGATGCCTCAACCAAAGGCAAGCACTGGGAGTTCTCCCAGAGGCCACACCCCTGTCCTCTGTGCCTTTGCCCAGGCTGTTCCTTTGGCCTGGAATGCCCCACCACCCTCACCTCTCCAGCCCTCGTCCTGACTCAGTCACCCTCCCTCAGGGCTGTCCTGGAAGGTGCCCCTGCCATCCTGCCACTTGTCTGTGTGTCCGGTGGGTGGAAGTCCTCTGAATGTATCTGGGTATAGATGTACACAGTTGCCTTTGTGTTTGTGTATATGTATGTCAATTTTTCACCCACAGGAGAAATAACATTTTCCAAACTGTCCCTCAGCATTCTCTCCCCTTAAAATCTCTTATGCTTTCCTTTCTTCTGTTGCTTTTTAACTAAGGAAATATCCAACCTCTATTCATTTGGTTTATTTAGTGTAGCAACCACACGTGTTTATGTCCAGAACATCTGCAGTCTCTATTAAAAAAAGACCATCTAACAGACTTCTTTGCTGATAGCGATGAAGAATTTATCTGACATTAAAGTACACAATGAACCTAAATTCCACATTGCTTCTCATTCTACTCTACTAAAGTCTAGGATAGCAGAGCATCCTTACTCTGAAAAGTAAATGCTTCCACTACTTGCTGTTAACAAGAACACTAAGCTCACTATGTCAGGAACAAGACTTCCTAATTGTTACCTCTACTCTGAATTTAAATTAAAATTATAAAATGGTATGGTGGCCTCCCTGGTTGGGTTTACTTGCATTTATGAAACTGTCGCTTCTTCTACAGGGGAAGAACCTAGCATGCAATGAATGAATGAATGAATGAGAAATCAAGGTCAGGGCAACAGGAGACCAGGTTTACTTAAGTCACTAGTAGGCAAAGTGGACATGGAGACATAGAGGATCCATAGTTTCTCATTTGTATAATGGGACGATAATTCACTTACAAGTTAAAAATGTTACCTAGGTTATCACGTTATAAAAATAAAGATAATAATAGATAGCTACTTTACTGAGTGGTAAGGCATGTCATAATATATAATAAATGGTAAGGGTAGCTGCTCAACAAGTGATAGTATTGAGTAACACTTGGCCAAAGAACCAGTGTGCCACACTGAAACTGGCAAAACAGAACGGGAAGGAAAAGAGCTCAGAGGCCCAAAGTAGGCAAAATGAGTCTCATCTCAGGTGTGTCACTCCCCAACACTCTGTCACTAAGCTAGAGCCCAAGTGAGAAAGCTAATAAGCAGGTTTCTCCTCCCGGGACTTGACGTGAGTTGTGTAATGCAAAAACATAGTTAATTCTAGAAATATTTATAAAATGTTACATAAATAAGTTACATTAGCTCTCTCTTTTTTTCTTTTTACATTCGTTCTCTTTAAACTTATTAACAATCTACTGAAAAGTCTTGCTCAAAACAACAAGGTACAGTCTTTTGTCATCATCATGACACCCAACAAATCTGTTGGCCCAAGTAGCAGAAAGTGAACATTTGGAGAGAGCTGGGAGCCCCCTTTGCTCATCACTTGCTCTGTCTTAGAACCTGTGGTAGCTCCCCACAGTCTAGCCAATCACATCGTTTCCAAACTGCAGTCCTGCGGTCCAGGGCCCAACCCGCTGCCCAGGGCCCAATGGAGCCACTGCACCCTATCCCTGCCACACTGGGGATCTCCCACTGCCGGCTGTCCACTCAAGCTTGGGCCTTTGCTTGACCCCCTTTCTGAGCTCTTGCCTACAACTCCCTCCCTCCTCCACTCTCTAGGTCGCTCCAATTTGCCTCACCACTTCCATGGAAGCTTTTTCCTTTTTCCATTTAACTTTCATGGCTTACTGCAATTGGGAGCTCAAATTTAGTGCAAGTCTGACATTCAACTGTAGTAGTTTGAAGTGCATGAATTTGTGCACTTGGAGTGCCTCACATCTTTAGTGTCACTTACAGTGCCTAGACAGTGCTAGGGCCATTATAGATGCTCAGTAAACTTGCAGCTAGGACATCACAGGTGCTTATTAAAACCCTTCGTTATCTATCAATGACAATGAGGTGCTGAGTTGAGGTAAATTACCCCATGGATTCAATCCAAAGAACACTTGTATTAATTACCAAGCTTCTTAAGGTAAGAATGTTTTCTGGTCTTAATTATTTGGACTATTATTTTGTCACTACTCAACGGAAGACACCGCCATATTCTTGCAAAACACTGAAAGCTGAATCTTCACAAACAAGGCAAGATTAAAAAAATATTCTCCAAGGTTAGTTCTCCAGCAGCATTCTGAGAGGGATCAATTATGCAATTATGCATGCAACTCTTAGGCTTCCAAATTCTGTCTTAGATAGCTTTCACTAGGAATGCCTCAGATATTCTGGTGTGAAATATCTACATAATTACGGCAATCCTTCCCTCCCAGCTCATTGTAAGAAATTCCCTAAGCAGTGTTTAGGGGTTAAAATGTTTCCAAACAGCAACTCTGTTACTTTCCAAAAAGAATAAAAAAACAACGAACAGAAAATAAAAACAACGGCTCCCTAAACAAAACCCCTGAATCAAGAGAGTTACCAAAAAAAAAAAAAAAGTAAAATGTTTCCGTCTGGGGTGTCAGGGGTGGGAGGTGTGATCTATTTTAAATTTACAACCACTTAAAAAAAGGGTTCAAGAACCCCCAAATTGAGGAATGTGGATAAAAGACTGGCATAACCCCTAGGAGAGCTCCTGCGGCCCCTCCCTCCAAACCCGCTTTCTTAAAACACATTTATTCTTTCAGCCTCTAAAACGCAGCCTTCCCCCAGCATAATTCCATTTTAAAAGCCCCCACCCGCGAGGAAACATTAATCTACTTTGCAAACAAGCGTTCTGGTCTGTGCTTTACTGCTTTTTTTCCAACTCCTTTCCCCCTACCCCCCCCCTTTTTTTGTACCTTGAGACAAATGTTTTTTTCCCCAAGAGTTGAAAGCTGTCCAAAAACAGGACCACACACGCCGCCGCCTCCGCAGGCCCGCGCTGTGCCCGCCCCCCGCCCTCCGCACGGCGGTCGCGGCCGCCGGGGGCGCGCACACTCCCTCCAGCCGGAGGGGTGGCCTCTCTCTGCCCCCCCCCCCCGCCCTCCTTTCTCTTTGGACGCGGTGGGTGGGGGTGGGGGAGGGAAGGAAACCGAGGAGTACAGCCCGGAGTCGAGAGGCCTTCCTCTGGCCGCGTCTCGGCGCGCGGCGGAAGCGAGCGGCGGTGGCGGCGGGACCTGGGGGCCCCCCGGCCTTGCGGAGTGGTCTGTCCCGCGGAGGGGGCCCCCGCGCCCCCGCCGGCCCGCCCTCGCCACTCTCTCCCACAACACCTCGCAAAGTGCAGCGCCCCGAGTAGATTACAGCGCGGCCTTTGTCGGGCGGGCCTGGCTCCCGGCCAGGCGCCCAAACAATAAACAATTCCCCCTGTTGCGGGCAGGGGGTTTTCGCTCTTCACAGAAAGGATCTAGGTGTATGCTGGCAAATATCTTCATCAATTGGAAGGAAGGGCAGGGGGCCCGGGGTGGGGGACGAGAGGGCGCTGCGGCGGGCGCTGGATCTCTTACCTTCCACCCACAGCTCCTCCACGTTGGTCTCGAGATTAGCTGCCTTTAATCCCACAGCGAAGGCCCCAAATATGAGGAGGCCTACAACCAAGAACTTGCCGCAGTTTTTTTGAATGTAACAACCCAGTTTAAATAGGAGTCTCTGAAACTTCGCTCTCAGCCACAGCGGCGCTTTCCGGCCAGTAGCTTTCCCCTGAGGATGAAGCAGAAAGGAGGAGTGAGCGCCGGGGAGTCGCGGCCCGCGCGCCCACGCCAGCTTCCGTGCACCCGCCCGGCATCCCGCGAAAGCCGTGAGGGGTGCCCTTCGGGCTGGACCCCAGGTCGGCCCAAGGAAACACGAGCGGCGTGGGGGGGCCTGGTCTTAAATCAAAGTCAGGCTGCAGCGTGGCAGCTGCACCTTGGTCACAGCAGGGGCGCCCCCACGCGCGGCCTTCGTAGCATCCCCGAGTGTGACTTGGAGGTCTGGGAGGAGGGGCTGCAAGAACAAGGGGAAGCCGAGGCAAAGAGGCGAGACACCATTCAACACACGCAATATTCACACCAACCTGGGAGGGGAGGGTCTGCGTAATCCCCGCGATGGAGCCCAATGTTTAAGAACCAGCAAACCACGGCGCCCTTTCCCGCAAGTCCTGCCCCAGCCTTCACCCTTCTCGGGGTGCTCCGGCGAGGACAGAGGCTGGGGGACGAGACCACTTTGGGAACAATGTTTGGCGGGCTCCCGCGTCCTGATCCCCCGCCCGACGTGGTAGTAAATTGGGATACACGTGGTGAGCGTGGGCGCCGGAGCTCACTCGCGACGTATTTCCATAGCGTTGGGAGACGCCGTGTGAGCTGAATTAGGAAGTGGGGCAGCCATCTGCAACTTACGACAATATTTGTGATCGGAAGAGGGCAGCCACATGGATCTTTCCCTCCTCTCCCTTCCCTTCTGGTTAAACGTGAAAAGCAGCAGAATGCACAGGGGAAGAGGCTGGGCCGACGCAGGCGGGGGTCCTGGCTGGGCGCTGGCTGCTCCCGGCGGTGGCGTTTCCCCGGCGCTGGCCGCGGCCCCGGCCGGCCCCTGTCTGGGTGCTCGCCTTCCCCGGATTCCACACATTTCAGCGAACCTCGTAAACACAATGAACCCGGCCGCTCGGCAGACCCGCACCGCGGATTTAAGGTGGCAATTTGTTTACAACTTTCCCTTTCCCCACAGGCTCTGAGAAGAAGTGGCTCAAAAACTGGAAAAGAAGAGGGGAGATACCCTCTTGCGAGGATAATTTTTAAGGGAGCAAAGATTTCATGCTCAACAAAAGCAAAACCGGCTGCCAAAAAAGGAAACCACCTTTATTTCGGCTCCCTCCCCCCCCGCCTCGCTCCACTCCGCCTCCCCCTCCAAGAGGTTAAGAAATGTGGCAGTATTACAGGAGTTTAGGCTGCAAATAGGGGCAGGGGCGCGGGAGTAGGGGGCTCAGGAGCAGGGGGCACAGGGCAGTGCCGCGCTGCGGCGGCCCTGGAGGTGGTCCACTGTGGACCTCTTTCCAGTGCTCCGGAAAAGGCACGCCGGGGAGGGCGCGTGCACACACACACACACACACACACACACACACCCCCTCCACCCCCTGCGGACTTCAGACAGCCCTTTCCTCCCAGGACCGGAGGGAGGGTTTGAATTTTTCAATCCCCACTTGTCTGGGTTTTTTTCCTGGAAAGGGGTGTGTGTGTATGTGTGTGTGTGTGTGTGTGTGTGTGTGTGTGTGTGTGTGGCGGGGACGATCCCAAAGAGGAAGAGGAGGGAAGAGAGAGTGGGAGGAGAGGAGAGAGTCTGAAATGCACCTTGGAAATCTGCTCCAGAGCGAAGGCGGCGTCGCAGTAGCTGGGCCGGTGCAGATAGTCCCAGTCCGGCGCGGCGTTGCGGCGCAGCCCCCCGGTCCTTCTGCGCCTCCCGCCACCGGCCGGCCGGCCCGGGGCCCCGCTGCAGCTGCCGCCGCCGCCGCGGTCCTGGGGCTCGGCAGCGTTACCAGCCGAGGCCATGTTGCCGCCGCCGCCGCCGCCGCCGCCGCCGCCGCCGCGGGAACCGAGGCTTCCCGGGCGGCCCGGCGCGCTCCTGCCGCCGCTGCGGGCTCCTGGCTCGCCTGGGCGCTCGGCTTGCGAGGACGCTGCTGGCCGCCGGCTGTTCGGGCTGGGGCTCCGGTTGACAGACCTGCTGCTGCTGCTGCTGCTGCTGCCGCCGCTGCTGCTGCTCACACTGCGGGCGCTGCTGCCGCTGCGGCCGCGGCCGCTGCCGGGGAGTCAGACCCTGCGCCTTCCATTGCCACATTGCGCGGGGGTCCCGAGGTCTCTGCGGCTGCCGCTGCCCACATCCAGTTCTCCGGAGAGCGAGAGCCGGCGCGTGGAGCCAGCCTGTCCTTCGGGCGCTCGCGCGGCGCTCCTCGCTGTCCCCAACTCCCCCTACCCGTCCCCCGCCCCGCGCCGCGACCCCTTCACTGCAGAAAGCGCCAGCAAATCCCCGCCGCTCCCGCCGGCCTCGCTGACTCTCTCGGCGTCTCACGGGTCGCCCGAGCGGCCGCGGAAGGTAAGCGCAGAGCCGCCGCCGCGGGGTCCGTGGGCGCCCGGTGGGTCTCAGCGCTGCCGGGCCGGGGCGGCCGCCGCCGCCGCCGCTGCTCCTGCGGCAGCTGCTGCTGGCGGTGGCGGCTCCTGAAGCTGCTGCTCGGACTGCTCGGGCTGCTTGGGCTCTGGCTGCTGGGTTCTCGGTAGCTGCTTGGTCCCGGACTCTGCTTTCTTGTGCTCCTCGCTGTCCCGCTGGACCATTCTGCCCCAGTGCAGCGCGCCTCTCTCGCTCCCGGGACCTGGGGACTCCGCTCTGTGTGTGTGCAGCGGGCAGCGGCCGCAGCAGCTCCTTGATTCAATAGATGAGATGGAAGAAGAAAAAAAAGAACTCTCTCCATTTGGAGAAAGAGGAGGAGGAGGGGAGGGGGTGGAGGGGGAGAGAGAGAGCGAAAGAGAAAAAGGCTGGAGCTCCCGCCCCCGGGGCTGTCAGATGGCTTGGGTTTCTGCAACATGATTGGCTCGCGGAGGGCAGAAATTACTCAGCAAACATGACTATTATTAGCTGCTTAGCAACAGCTCACCAAAGTAGAGAGACCACCCAGGTAGGCAACCCCAGTGTGTGCATCCCCGGCTTCGGGGGGAGCCTCCGAGAGCGCCAACCTTCTCGCATGCAATACTTCCATTAAGGAATGCTCCCCCTCCCTTTCTTTCTTATTCCTTTTCTTTTCAACAGTGTCTTCTTTTTGTAAGATGCTTTTTGCGCGCGCACACACACAGACACCCACGAGCATTTGCCTCGCGATAGACACGGGGGAAAATGTAATTTTTTTAAGCGCTTAAACAATTTCAGAAATTCCTCAAAGAAAACCCTTTCAGAGGCACCTTGGCCTCAAGCTGCAGCAAATACTGGGAGGTCCGGCTTGAATTCCCAGGCCTGCACCAATAATGACAGGGTGGTGGATAGTGCGCCAGTGTGTGCCAGATTTTTTTTTTTTTCCCTTCTCTCTTTTCTTTTATAACCAAAGAGAAGACTTAGGCTCTTGCAGGGAACAACGCCTCGCATTAAGATAAACAAAATGGAAAGTTAAAGAGGAAAGTAGGGACATTGGGAAAAGCCACCTTTCTTAAAGTTCGCTCCCCCCCGCCCCGCCCCTTTCCCTCTCAAAACCCCTCGGCAGCACAGCCCTGGTTTGAAGGAGTCAGTGTTTTATAAACGTGGAATCCAGACACCGAAGTAGTCTCGTGGAGGCAGAGGAGTTTTTATTTGAATCTTTAATGCGACATAGGTAAAGGATAAACAACAGAATCCTTTTAACAACCCGGAGAAACAGAAATGTTTTCTCTAGAAAGAGAAAAGTTTTATTTTGGATTCATTTGGACCCCCCCTTTTAATTAACCACAAGTCCCTATTTATTTAAAGTCTGTTTTAAACGTTCCCTCCCCAAACTGGTACGCATCGTGTTATATTTAATAGTAGCGTGACATAAAGGAGAATAAAGGCTTTGATGCTGGATTCATTTGAAACAAATTGTGCGGTGATTGCTAGGACTTGTCCGGACACTGCAGCCAGTGTCACCGAGACATGCCGGGGATTCGCTTCCCCTGGAGAAGAAAACACGCGACTCTGAGGTGGATCCTGGGGCCAGAGACAAATTAAACTATATACACATCTCCGACTTTTACGTAAAAAAATTTTTTTGAGAGTATTTTCCTTTTGCAAGTTAAGTTCCTCCCTGAGATGGAGACCGGATCCACAAACCCTCGATTCTGTCTCGTTTTACTATTTTTTTCCTTTTTTTCTTTTTTAAAAATTGGGTTGAACTGCAGAGGGACTCTCGGGAGCAAGTAGCTGACTGAAGCCGTGAAATGGGGCAGTGTGGCTTTAAGATGCACACGGTGTGTGTTCATTGAAAAAAAAAGAAAGAAAGGAAAGGAAAGAAAGAAACCCAGATGGAGGGAAAGGGGGAGGAGCGGGGGAGAAGGCGGAGCCCATGCGACCACGTGACCCAGGGCCCGGCCGGCGCGCGCTCTAGGGCACGGAGGCCTATTAACGCGCGCGCGTGTCCGAGTGCGCCCGCTTGCGCGCGCACCGGAGCTCCGGACTCCCCACGCCCGCGCAGCCCTGGTCAAGCAGGTAGGGAAGTCGTTGCGCTCGGCTAGCGCCAGGCGGGCTCCAAGTCTCCAGCGCTGGCTCCTGGGAGCCCAGGCGAGGCGCACTCCCCGCCGGCGCGGACGGACGTGCCGGACGCGCCGTAGTACATTCCTGAAGGCGGTCGGCCCCCTTACGTTACCCAATGCCTGCGCGGCCTCCCCGCGGCCGGCCAATCGCTGAGCGCTCGGGTCCCTTACCATTTAGCTGCCCTCTACCGAAAGGGACTGCAGCCGGGCGCGCCGGCCACCCGGGCGACCCACGCGGCTCCCGCAGGGGGTCTGTCGGCCAGCCCTCCCCGCCGCCTTACTTTCTCTTCGGCGGCTTACCCCTGCCTCCTTTCAGTCTCCCCTTTCCTTTCTCCTTCCTCTTTCACCCCTTTTCTCCCCCATCTCTCTCCTCCCTACCAGCCTCGCCACCTTCCCTCTAGCCTTTTCTCCTTCCTGGTTTCACTGGGAGGCCCTGCCCTCTGAATCCCAAACCGGCAAAACGTGTGCAGTACCCTGGGCAGGGGGTGTCCTGCAGAATAAAGAGACAAAGAGAATAGAAGTGTCTGGGGGTGTTCACGAGATCAGGAGGAGGACAGGAGTACCCGGCCAGCGCGGAAATTCAAAACTCAAACTACGAAGGACCACGTGATTTTGTGCGCGGCTCTGGGAAGGGCTGCGAAAATGCAGAAGGGAAGACAAGCAGCGTGCATTTAAAATGACAGTAGGTTAATAAATAATATCGCAGGAATATTGGGCTTGACACAGAGCAAGCTTAATCTTTGAGCAATATCCTGGTCTTCATTATGTTTGGTAAATAGTATAAATCAGGAAACGTGATTTATTATTCTAGTTTTTCTCACTGAAAGGTTCTACAGACGTTTCAAGTCAAACCATTTTGTGCTTTGCCGCTGGAAATTAATTTTTAAAGATTGGGGGTGGAACCCCTAAAAAGACACGTCAGTCTTTTTATATTTGAGGCGTGCTGTATAGCAAAGGTAACCATGTAGCTATAGGCAGGGTGCTGTGTCTGTACAAAATTCTTTACAACGTTTTAGACCAAAATATTAGTTTTTCCACCCAATCTTTTATTTATAGCAATTTTAGTATAGCTACTTAGATTATGGAATTCTAAGATGAAATTATAGGCTATTTACACATAATGGTTCCCTATTACTCTCCGCACGCAGCTGCATATCCTCTTGTTTTGGCGCTGCTACATGTGCACCGTTTCAATGGCAAAGCCTCTTCCACTCGGGCTCATTTCCCTGGGTTTGACTTAATTCCTAAACGTTTTGAACATTGATCTCAGGGGTTTTCAGCTCCCTGAGCTCCCTCACCCGCTGTTTGATAGGTTAACTTTTCAGCATTTCAGACAATGCTCTCGGCCTGTAAATTCTACCCATCGGTTCCAGGACGCAATCCCCAGCCTGGGCTCTAACAAGCGCTATCTTAATCTCCCCACCCCCACCCGCCGCTTCCCCTGTGGTCTGCTTTTTTCATACACAGAGATGAATTACTTTGAGGATCTAATTGGCCTTGTTTCTGTAACGTTTTAAGAAAGGGAAGAGGAGCCAGTGTAAAAGCCTGCTCGACTTGGGTGGTCAGGGCTGAGCCTGCCCCCAATTTGCCTCATTGCTGATGCATGTGAGTTCGACATTCCCAGTGATAATGTTGTTCCTAATCAATCTGCCCTTATTTACATTTGTAAGCTTTGTCGGCTTTAATATGCATGCCCTGTGCAGGGGACCGCTGCGCCACACCGGGTTTGTTAACTTCAACTAGTATTCTCCAGACCTGAGATGAGGCTGACAGGAGGGGCCAGGGCTGTGAAGGTGTCTGCTGGGAAAAGTCCCTTTAATGGTCTTTCTGCAGCATGGCTCCCCCGTGAGAGTTATCCAACAAGTGAGAAGCTTGATGCCTTTTCAACCAGCAGGAGTTGCTGGCCCTCTTTCTTGAGTATCCCATTGTCCCTTTCCAAGTAAAGTCCATCTCAACGCATTAATTGTCATTTTGGTCTCCCCATCATGACCCAAGACTTCATTGGAATTTGTAGTTTCAAAACACATTCCTTAAACTCTTAAAATATGATTCCCTCATATCTTCTCTCTTCTCTGCTCCAATAGTCAAACAGCCGTGGCCACGCCACACACATCTCAGAAATGACATCTGATTATCCAAATGATGACACTGAAATAAAACATCTGCCCTTTGTGTTTGGACATTCCAGTGATAAGCAATTGTGGGAGCTGCACTTGGTGGAGTAATGAAAAACCACGATAGGACTTGACTTTTCACTGGTTTCCCAGATCCAACTAATTGGGTCTTTAAAATGTAATGTAATTTAGCTAATATTTGCAGAGTACAAATGAATGAAGGAGTAAATATATCTAGTAATTTGACGCTTGGGCCATGTTATAATTTTGTCTACGGAGTTTAATACTCTTTTCCACAAATGCAAAGAACTGCAAACATTACATTAAGTGCCACAAGTATTCCTGTTGAGAGGC